AAATTTTACTTTTAATAATATTATATGTCATATATATATATTCATAAAATTGATATAAATATTTAATTTGTCTATTATTTTTAAATTTTATGTATTTTAAAATAAATTTTATTTATTTTTAATTATTTTTACGAATCCGGATCCGAATCCGGATATCCGCGGATATTATAATTTCTAGACGGATATCCGAGACCCGGATACCCGGACGGCCCGAATCCGAATCCGGATACTAAAATCACGGATCCGACGAATCCGGATCCGGATCCGGATACTCCAAAATTCCCGGATATCCGGATCCGTCCCACCCCTAGATATAGGACCCCTCCTCTCAATACATTCATAACTTCATAATAACGACAGTTACAAAAAAGCTTCATAATAACAACTTTTGACCCTGCAAAAAATTAGTGGTGGAGTGAAAATATGACGTGGATGTATTTCGCACAATACATACGTTACAGTAAAAATATACTATTTAAATAATGAATGTGTTTGCTATAGCTAATAGTAATAGTTAACATTAATTTCCTGTAATTCTTCTAAGTTTATAGTAGAAGGTTTTTTTTAAAAGGTTTTTTAACTACAAAGAACAAGATAATACACACACATTAAATTAGCCATTTTATTCTGAAGTTTATTATGGTTATAAAATCTGTTACGCATAAAATGGCATTGAAAATGTATGATATTAATTAAGGAAACGAGGTTATAAATAGAATTAACCCTGTTTTGGGGATCTTTTCAATACTTTTTCATCTTCTACAGTACATAAGAAATATATTTGTATATTTTTTAATCAACCGTTTGGTGGACTCTTTGTGTCTTAATCAGATCGTCATTAATTGATGTCGAGAAAAAAACGTTATCAAGATTATTTATTATCACAGGTATTACTAACGATGGGAGAAGATACGGTGGATAGTATCTGGTGGCCTCCATCTTTGATTTATTTATTTTACTTTTAACACATTTTTTGCCTAGTTTTCATATCACTTAACGATAATTTATGGCATACAAAAACATGTTTAATAAGAAGTCTTGAATCTTGATATCAACTCTTTAAAGCAAAGACATCACTTTGCCCACTCTTGGTTTTTATTTCTCATGAGTTTATATAATAGATACATGCTAGTTTTGTTATATTTTGCTAACGTTGTGGAAATAATATTCCTTTAAACCACTCAGATAATAAGAAAATGAATACAATGGGTGTGTATTACGAGTGGTTGTACCCAATCGGTTTTATAATTGACGAGATATGTTAAAGTTTTATGTACCAATAATCTCACATTATTATTAATTAGTTTATGTAGTCATTTGTTCCGGTGTGAATATATATTAGTACTGAATCACGTTATCTCACGGTGACATCATTAATAGTAACTATATTTTATAAGAGAATGAGCTTGTATATGGTCTTAATACGGTGAACCAAACCTGAGCCATTATTTTAAAAAGATTCGACCGTACGGTGATATCTACTTTGGGTATATTAACAGCTCGACTTTTCGACAAAAAAAGAAACAACTAGACTCGTATAACTTTCGCATATTCTATTGACTTGGATTGCTTGTGTTCGATCTCATTTCCCTCTGGTTTTTAAAATAGAATAGTTACATTTTAGATCCAAAAATGTGAAGTATCATGTCATTTAAACTTCAAAAAGAATTGTCATGTAATATAGTTCGAGTCGGACATGAATTGAAACTTGTTGAAGAATAATATATGAAGAATATATACTATACAATATGCTGATCTGGCATTATCAAATTTAGTTAGCTTTAACTAGTTGTTTGTTGCCCTCCACAAAAGGCATGCACGCTTCGGAAGTCAAGATTTAAGTTTGCCTTAAAGAGATTTTGGCATGGCTAGGATTTATATAAAGCTTGTGACAGAATTCCCCAAGAATTAATATAAAATACAAAGTCAGTACTGTAGTTTGTCGTAGAATGCCTCGAACACACATGAATCCCTCGAAATCTGTCTCAAATCTATCATACGTCGATACAAACAAACGTAGTTGCGTAAACAAGACCGGCCATTAATTACTTTACAACGTCCGATATTAACGACATCCGATGACTCTTGAAAAGGCCTCTCCGAAAGTGTGAGGTAATAGTTACTTTTAAATAAATACATTAAGATATATTTAGTAGCTGATAAAAAAAAGAATATATTTAGTATTGTAAAGATATAATTAGCATTGTTAAGAAAATAAAAAGGAAATATTCCAAATTTGTACTGTTTGAAGAACCCAAAACAGAAAGGAAAAAAACGTGGCTATTTAAAGAGATTCAAATCATTCTTGGGATCAATCTTTTTTAACCCTTGTTTTCTCCATTTCCATTATTCAAGTAGCCACTCTAATTAATGTTTTGTTGAAAAGGCTTTGCTCTAATTAATGTTAATTATATCCTTATATGAAAACTATTTTGTTAGTAAATATGCGATACTAAAGTTCACTTATGTGAAATTAATCAGTTAAATGTCGATGTTCTTAGTGTTTCTTCTCCCCAGATGATCATCACTAGCCTTTAATTCTTAAAATATACTTATTCGAAATTTAAGATGCCCTTACAAGCGATGGTAAGACACAAGCTATGATATATGGCTAGTGCCCCTCCGGTAGAACACAAGGTCAATGTAAAAGTTACACGGACTTGCACACTAAATCTTCATTTTATATTACCTATCACATAATACAATAGATAAAGATTATATAATTATGTATGTGCAACTTTTATTTGTTTATAAAGCTCACATTAAACTCCTTTTTTAACACCACAAATAAATATATTATATCTTTATCTTTTGTTGTTTGAGAAGTTATTATATTAAGGTGTAATACCAAATCTGTTGAATGGTTGGAGCAATATCAATCATATCTCGCCAAACTATCCAACTTTTATGAAGGATGTATGATAGAATATTCAACAAGTATGTTCGGTAGTTGTTTAATTTTCAGAAAACTGTGTAATTGTCTATTTTACCACCTGTAATTCGATTTATCAAAAATTTAAAATTCTGCAAAAAAACAATAACCTTAAATAGAAACTTTCTCTGGAAATTAGCTAACAAAAACAAAAAAAACATGCACACGAAATGCACACCTCATTAAGTTTGTCGTGTGGTAGGATGCACCACTTTGGGTCTGGTTTGTAAGTCCAGTCATATTGGGCCAAGTACAAAGGGATGGGATGGCCGTGAGGTTGAGCGAGGGTAATGGCATATCATCATGGGTGTTCAATGGTGAAACTCGAAATCAATGGATATCCATAAAATTTAGAAACGATGTGAAATATACGCTTCCATCATTGTGATCTGATTGTAGATAGTTGGCTGAAGTTCTCCTCCAAATGATAGTAATATGTATTGTGGTCCTCGTAACGTGGCGACAACTTGCGCTCGAATGTTTTCACCTGTCACTAAAGTAGATTTTTGTCTTCTGAACTAAATTAAAAGGAGCAGGGGATAATAGTACAACTTGTTGATTGCGGTGAATTCTATCTCTACAAAAGGAAGATCGGTGACAACATTCGTTTGCGCAGTGGGTTGATGTGATACTTGTTTATACCATTGTGTGAGAACATTAAACAACACATCCCATCAATGCATGAGAGAATCAACAGGATTTAATTACTTCTTTTTAAGGTCACAAGCAAATATATTATATCTTTATTTTTTTGCTTGTTTTAGAAAAATATTATTATATTAAAGTGTAGTACCAAATCTGTTGAATAGGTAGGTGCAATATCTATCATATCTCGCCAAACTATCCAACTTTCATGAAGGTATGATGGAAAATTAAACAAGCATGCTTCCCTTTTCAGCACCTAGTTGTTTAATTTTCATAAAATTACATAATTGTCTATTTTACCGCTAGTAGTTCGATTTATCAAAGGAGGTAAGATTTTGCGAAGAAGATAAACCTTAAATAAAAAGCCTGCTCTGGAAACTAACCAACAAAAACAAAAAGCATGCTCATGAAATGCACATTCATTAAGTTTGTCGTGTCGAACATGTGGCTGGGACTCACCACTTCGGGCGTGGTTTGAAAGTCCAGTCATATTGGGCCAAGTACAAAGGGACGGGATGGCCGTGAGGTTGAGCGAGGCTAGTGGCATAGCACCACAGATCTTCGAGGGTGGAACTGGAAATCAATGGATATCCATGAAATCTAGAAACAAAGCGAAATATACACTTCCATCCCTATCATCCATACATAATGAAAAGTAAATATTATAAACTTACACCTTAATGGTAAACAACTATCACCATTAGGGTCGGAGCCTATCACAGAAGTGGACTCACCTTAAATATAGGGAGTACAGCTGTCACATGTTAAAAATATATTTCAGAAAATTTGTTAGCTTGTATTGAAAATTGCGTAGCTCAAATGGTCTGTTTTTTTTTCCATCTGACCCACTTTATATGTGTAACATCGGTTCAAATCTTCATTTTGCACCGCTTTTTTTAAAAAAATTCTTTATTTTAATTTTAAGCTAGACCAAACCCAATTAATGATACTCCTAAAATATAATTTTGGGTAGTCACTGGCCATCATATATATACCTCTTAATGTTTTTTAAAATTTTGTACATAAATATAACTCCAAATTTGTAGAAAAAAATTATTAAAACGCTTAATAAATTATTGATAACCTTCAAAATACGTCCTGTTTGGTTATTGATTAGTATTAAAACGAAGTTCAGGATAGCATACGTGATACTATTATACAAACCTATAGTTTTCTTTGACCTAGCTGGCTACATGCTTTTCATTATTATAAGTTAAATACCCTGCTCCACGATTTGATATGAAACAGTTGTTATTATTGTAACCTTCACGAGAAAACACCATATAACAAAATACAGTTATAAGAACCTATAACTTCTTTTATTGAGCTACATAGAGCTTTGCAACATTTCTCTTATTTTGACATACGTACGTAATAGTAATAACCATGCATACAAACACAAGAGTTTGTGTTACACGCCAATTCATGGCTTAGCCTCTTCCGTTTTCTTCTCTTCCTCAGTAGCCATCTTTTTGGTACAACAAACACTGCACCGCGCATAAGGGTACCTTCCGCAGCAACCGTACCTACATCTACGGACTTGCTGGGGCTCAACAACTTCAGACTCGGTTTGAGGACTTCGGCAACAGTAGCTGCACCGTCCATAACGCCATGCTCCACAACATCCGTATCTACAACCACCACGGCCTCCTGGCCCTCCTCGCTGCTGAGGCTCAACAGAGTTTTCCTCAACAGCCTCGGTTTCCACGGCCTCCACCGCCTGGGCTTTGCTGCAGCAAGCGCTGCATCGTCCATAAGCGTAGGCTCCGCAACATCCGTACCTACAACCACCACGGCCCCGCTGCTGAGGCTCTACCACAACTTCATTGGCCTCGGTTTTGGCTTCCTCGGCCTGGGGTCGGCTGCAGCAAGCGGCACACTGTCCATAAGCATAGGCTCCGCAACATCCGTATCTACAACCACGTTGTTGTGGCTCTATGACATCCGTTGCTTCACTTGGCTTCACTTCTTCTTTATCTGTACGTGTGGTTTATATGTTATTTACGTCAGACCATGTATGAAAGCATAAAAAAGAAAAACTATATTATTAAGAGTTGTCTACCATGTGTAGCGGCATCGTTGGATGTGTCGGCAAAAACAGCGAGAGAGAGGGAAAGGAGCAAAGCCAAGAGAGCGAGAAACTTGAGGTTGCCCATGTTTTGGTTTAGCTTGTTCGGTTTGTTGTGAGGGAAGATGTTGTTTTTGGGTAGTGAAGAAGAGTGTATGAGCACAGCACATCTATTTATAGTTGTGCGGCAAAACATGGCGACAAGAGACCGGTCAATTATATCGAGTGAGTTAAGATAATGGAACGACATATTTTATGGAAAAAAAACATTTAATGTAAAAATGTAAATCAAGAAGCACATTCGTTCTGATTAATTCCCTTCAGTTCAACTAATATCTGGTCTCGGCAGACGTAATCATCGTGTTAAAATATCATCTATGATAATTAGAGATGTGATGCAGAAGAATCACAGAAACTAATTAACAAATATTATAAGAAGCTACAATACGTTTTCTACGCTTCATTTATAGTTTCTTCGTCAAATTAAGTTTTTGTTATGATGCCTCGATGACTTTTTTTTTCTTTTTTTTTGTATTCTACATCAATTTGTGATTTGTAAACAAAGACACTCTGTTTCTAACAACAAAATAAAGATCCATTAAATTTTCCTTTTGTTGAAAATTAATGGTTTTGTGCTCATATAATAGTGTCACTGATACTGATGATTGTACAAAACAATCAAACTACAGTATGTGCAACTATAACACACCAGTGGACAAATGTACAATCAAATATCACAATTTATACAGAATTGTTATTCTCAGCTAGCAGCTCTAGCTCCTAGCTAGAATCAGGATATGTTACGCCAATGCTACATATAAACATTTATACTATATTATTTGATATAAAGAAGAGTCCTATACATAACATTAAACGGTAATATTAAGTCACATAAATATCTGTTTTTTCTTGTGGCCAAAACCCCACGATAGAAGTTGAACGTTGAAAGGCATTACATGCATCGAAAGGTTGCTAAACTCTTCTATGTGGTTCCACGTGTAAATGACATTGCTCGATACATGACCTATGCTGTTTACACGTGTTGATATAGTTGAAACAAAGTCCAACTCTTAGACTTGAAGATCCACCGTTCGAAAGGATAATGTCCACCTATTCATTCCAAGAGCAACCATAGAATCCCAATTCAAACTCTTCCTCTATGTTAGCAAAATCATTAGAATCTACTTCATATTATTCACTCTTACTTTTACCCTTTACACTACGATTTCAACTAATTAGTTTCAAAGCTTCTGTGTCGGGTCACTCGAGGGGATTTTTCCTACAAGGCTATAACGGGCTCTAGCATATATAGATTACATACTAATCATAATTAATCTCATTAGTTCTGCAAAGTAATTTTTATCTCTAATTCCTGTCTTGGCATTAGGACTGGAGTATGAAACTTCCCCACCATTTCTTGAGTAATTTTCAAGTAGTTACGTCATATTTATTTCTTATAATGTTTTTTCTTTCTATAGGAGTTTTAGTGTTCAAACCACAAACATGCAATGAACTCAGTGTAGCGTATATCCGGTGTATAATGTTATTTGGATAGTTGCTACTATAAATGAGTTTAGCGTTTACTAAATTTAGATTTGATGTGTACATCATCACAACTGTATAGTATGTCGCTATAACTATAATCGTTCAAAATACTGAATCTACAAAAACAAAAATTTCAACCATTTTAATGCATATTCGTATGGACAATCGGTTATTTTGGATGGGATAGTACATTTTAAGAAGCGAGAACCGATCTCAACCATTTTAATAAACCATCACTCTATTAATTTGGGTGACAGCTGAACTAAGATCTTACTTTAAAGACCTTTGTATGAGCAAGTGTTTCACTAAGTCATGTAGATGCAATCAATTTAGCATTCCACAACAAAAAGAGAGGATACTCCTGAAAGTTCAGAGACACGCAAATAAGAACCGTACACAAGTTATTCAAGAACACTTCTTGTATATTAGAAACCTTTTAAACAATCTTCCTAGATCTGTTTAATCCGATTTAAGCTCAGTCACACACGACTAGCGACGGACCAGTTCCTAATCTCTAAGTTACAGAAACCCAAGCCAAACCCCTGTTTTCTCGATCTCTGNGTATATTAGAAACCTTTTAAACAATCTTCCTAGATCTGTTTAATCCGATTTAAGCTCAGTCACACACGACTAGCGACGGACCAGTTCCTAATCTCTAAGTTACAGAAACCCAAGCCAAACCCCTGTTTTCTCGATCTCTGTAGCCGACAAGAACAACTCTCTTGCTCTAGCTTTTTCTCTCTTAACGCCTAACCTAAAATACACTTAGGTTGCCTCGTTAAGTAGGCATGAAAAAGACAATATTCTATTTCCTAAAATATCGCCAACCAGAAGATCTTCTTTGCTTCGCACCCAAGCAATGTCTTCTATTTCCATAAGTTTACGCCACGTCATTACACGTACCAAACTTATTGCATTGTGTTACACAATCATCGCATTGTGTAACACACTCTCATCTTAACCGGAACAAGCTCACAAACCTTGAGCTTACATTCTCCCCCTTTTTATCTGAATGTGACAACCTACTCAACCTGTTCCAACAAAGCTCAAAATGCAGGACAACACTCTATATCAATCTATCAGTTAGTCTCCTATAAAGTCGAGAATATGAGAAACCCGGAACAAAACACATTGATAAATCCAAGAGTATCAGAGTGCACAAATAAACTGAGCCAGACACAACGCACGAAGTGGATATTTCTCCCCCTGAGTAGATGCACATTAAGATAAAAAACACACGGTTAGATAAAGACACACGGTTAGAGACTCATAAAATTCAAAGAATTTCTGCAAGTACTACACACGGGTGATGTTAGCTGCAAAGCTAATGATCTGATCAAAAACCAGTCAATTGAAAACATTAGTCACACTTGTTCAAGAATTAATCACAAATAATATCATGTGTGTAAAGCAAAAGATCTGATGTGTTGTACACACATGTAACCAGGAGCACAAACGTCACTTACATTCGTATGAGAGCACAGAGGTCATGTGAATTGTGATATGAGCCAGTCCTGAAGAGCAAACAGTATATACACATAGGGCATCGATGGACATGATGCCTGCATCTCGGGGGTAAAGCCACTGAAGAACGATTTATCCACACATCTAGCTACCAAAACTTTTTAATGAAATCAATGAGTCAACCCAAGTCTGTAGCTATTTCTCAGCCGAGTAGCTGTCACAAACGAGATTCTACAGCATTCAGTCTGCAATCTCAACTCTGTTCTCTCACTCATCTGTATGGTCTAGAAACACATGTTAGGCTTCTTGTGTGTCTGTCTCTCCAACTCACAGACTTCCAGTTGTTTATCACCAGGCAATTAATACACAACTCAAGTTCTAGGAAAGTGATGAAATTCAGAGGCAAAGTGGGGTAACACCCAGCTCCAAAACATTTATCCCATGAGATTGGTAACACACCTGCCTAGTCAAGACAGTGATCGAAACAGAGGCAAAGTGGTGTAACACCCAGCTCCAAAACGAGTATCTATCACTCCAGGCCCCTTTTTTTTTTTTTTTTTTTGTTGTTGTTGTTGTTTTGTTTTGAGTAACATACCTCTTCTTTGATCAGGTTACTCCACGAATCTTACCTCTGACCAGTATCTTGTGTGACACCTTCTTCAAGTAATGTAACACTCATCCCCTGATGTGTTTCTTCATTCAATCCAGACAGTGATCAATGCTCAGACGTGAAATGGGGTAACATCTCAGTCCAAGATGAGTGTCTTTCACCAGAGAATCAGATGAGCGAAATAGCAGAGTTAAGTAGCAGAACCTTACACTGTAGAACTTGTTGAAACAAGGTGTTAATGAGGGGGTAGCATCGAAGCATGAAGTCCAGCAATTTTTACAGTGACTCTTCCCCCTTC